AATAATTGACAGCAAATGATTTATTGGAAGAATAGTTTTTTCAACTTCTTGCCACCAATTACACTCATATTGTTCTCCAAACACCCTTACGACCATATTATTATCCTATAAAAACAATTATTGAATTAATTTATTAAAATAAATTAAATATTAAATAATGTTAAAATTAAAAATACCATTGCTTTCTTCAAAACTCCTCGCAAGGCCAAGTTTTCTGTTATTTTTGGTCGTACTAGAAGTGCTTGAATTGCATGAAAAATTAGACGGTAATGGAGTGTAAAATCGATTCCGGAGTAGTTTCCTATAACCTTTTCTTTAAAATTTATAGAGGATGATTTTATTTGACTAAGATAATCTTTGCCATTTTTAGTGGACTTCGGCAATGGTGACCCTTCCAAATTACTATGCTTGTTAAAAAACTTGATTATCTTATCACCAAGTTTGTTAGAAATATTACCCTCTATAATTAGTTCCATAAATTTACGGTAAGCATCATTGGGCCATCCTGCCAATCTTTGCAGTTGAGTTTTTCCTTCGATACTGTCTAATGCATCATCCAGGGTTGCTCCTTGAAAATCTTTGGGATCCAAGCTAGAATTTGAATATAATAATTCTTCTAAACTATCATCTGAAACCTCAGCAACTTTTCCGGAATCGACTTGGGGTTCTTTATTTTCAAATCCTTATTATTTTTTGAGCATAATATTTTTTTTGAAGAATTGTAACTACACCTGCCATATGAATCCCAAACTATTATAGTTTAGGTTTATCCATGCTTAAATTCCAAAACTCTGATTATTCTTTTTTAATTTAATTCTTTATAAATAGATATTTTTGGCAGGTTTGGAATTTGACTGGATTTGCTGGCAGATATAATTGCTATGCGACTTACCATCTATTATTAACTATATATCTTCAACTATAGATTGTGAACCAGTATCTTCTAAAGTTTCTTCAAATGACATATTGCTAGAATTTTCCTCTTCAGAAGATATTCGTTCTTCAATATTTACTTCCTATATTATTAAAAGATTTAAATTTATTGAATTTTTATAGTTCTTTTATAATTCTTTTGTAATTTGTTTATAAATAAACTATATTATACCATTTCACTAAAATTCGATGTTTGAATTTCTGTTAAAACCGACGGTCTTGGTGTTCTAACAATGGGTGTATTCCACAAATCTGTATCATGTTCAAGTTCATCATATTCAGATTCATCTTCAGGTTCTTCTAAGCTTTGATATCTTTGTAATATTTGTATAGCGGGGTTATAAAGAATTCTTCCTCGATGCCTTGCATTCATGTATTGTGTCAATCTGTGCTCTGTATGAAATTCTCCTTGGCAGATTCTGCACCTGTATACCATTTTTTTTAATTAGATTTTGTTTGTATATATAACTCTGAAATATTGCTAAAGATTTATTTTGGACAATATAATTTGGGTTCTTTCACAGCCAAGCCATGCTTAGAGTATAAAATATATATACTATAGGCATGGTTTGCTATAAACAAATCTATTTTGGAGTTCAAATCACTAGACTCAGGCTAGAGAAAGATATATATATCTTGATATTAGGTTATTATATCTTAATATGATGTGATTCAAAGGTAATTTATCAGTTTTGTTTTTATATTATATAACTTTTTAAATTCTATTTTTCTACAAATTTTATTTTTTTTACAAATCGCAAATTTCAATATGAGGGATAAAGGAAAAAACTTAAAGGCAAGGCTGGTTCCTCAAAAAATACAAGAAGCAATACGTCAGATGATTCTGTTGCTACTGAGGCAGACCGAAGAGAAACGAAATCGATTTTTGGAATGATGCTACGTAGCAGTAATAGCAGTAACTTAAATTTTTTCAACATAAAAAAAATAAAAATAATATTTTGATAATTATTATTATTATCAGAATCAAACGAAACATCATTAGGTATCGAAGTGTCCAAATCAATTAAAGCGCAATCCACGACCCAAAGCTCTAGATCAACAAATGGTTTGTTTGACTTCAAAGTTAAATTAATAATATGTAGAAGCAAATTTAAATTAACAATATGTAGTAGCAAGGCCAGGTCTCACTCTTTAAAGATAAAATAAAATAAAATAAAAAATAAAATAAAAAAATAAAAAAAATAAAAAATAAAAAATAAAAAAAAATATGTAGAAGTAGATTATTGTTCTTTTTAGTAATCCTTAAATTGCATTGTTATTTAATTGTATTGTTATTTTTTAGTTACAGAAATTCCAGATGATGAGGAAACAAATAAAACACCAGCAAAAAAGCCAAAGACCCTGCCATCAATTACTGACAAAGAACCATTAGACGATTCCTTTTGACAAGACGATAATGATTTGTTATGTGCATTTCAGTCATTTGAAGAACCCTCACCTTCAGGAGCGACAACTTCTGTTTTACCCCAAGATAATGTAAAATGCAATATTCATCTCAAACATCTCAAGAAACCTTACCTTCAAAAGCTTTTGGAAGATCGCAATTGGGTGAAGGATCTGATGACCACTCTCTTTTAGAGAAAAAAAGTTTAACTGTCAATGATTTTAACTATAGCGTAGGAATGTTAGACAAAAAACTCACCTCTTTATACCAATTATGTCGTTTTGTAGCAACCAAACAGAAGAAAATGTCAAAAAATATCAAAAAACTTATTGCGTTTGAAGAACTTTCTGATGGTTTCTGGCAATCAGCATACAAAGAAGTCTTCAAAGAATTAATTCTAACAATACTGTACTCTACACCAAAAGAATATAGACTTGCACTAGAAAAGTACTTACCTAAAAATGCTGAGCACTTTATCGATACAATTGGAAGAAACGCTTGGGTTTCTTATTTTAATGAAAAACTTTTACCAGAAGTATTTTATTTTATTTATTTTATTGATATTAGTCTCAAGTCCAATATATTTTAATTAGCCCTAACCTTATGTTAAAATTATTTTTGAACTTACATCCAATTGAGTTTTGTACAAAATCCCGATACTCACAATCCCAATGGTACATATTTAGATTTTGCCTGTCGTGATTATGTATCATTGTAAGATTTTGCTTTCAGGATTACATATTGTATTATCGGGATTGTAAGCATTGATATTTTGCAAGACTCTCTATCCAATTAGCCAAGCTTAATTAGTCAGTCTAATTATGTCTAATAACAACACTAAATATCTTATTTTTTTAATTTTTAGGTAAGAAGCAAATGCTGAAATAAAAGAAATGAGTTAGCTGCTACCATTTGAAATGCAACTTTTGCCATCTTTGAAGGGTGGCTTGAAAGAGTAAATACTAACATTGCTGCCATAAAACTTGCTGAATAGAAAACTTCAGATAAAATCTGTGATGCTTATAATTCACTATTCGAAAATGATGAATTGATTACCTCCATATGTCTTTCAGCTTTCAAACAATTCTGTAACAAAAGTCTTCTGCCATTACATTGTGCCTACACCATGGCGATTTGTGACATCTTGCTAAATCCCAACAGTTCTGGCATAAAATGCACTGACAAATCAATTGCAAGACGAGTTTATGTCTTCATGGTATGCTTATTATTGGTATAAACTGAATGATCTTATAAAAGTTTTATATAAGGCCACACATATTTAATTTATTAGTTCTCGTAATATGAAAATTTTAAAGTAAACCTAGCCTACCAGCGTTCTTTTAATTTTATTTATAACAATTTATAAAATTTTTCTTAAAAAATTTTTAAAAGCTTATCCAGTTATTAAACAAAAATTTTTGCTAAAGATTTTCAAAGTTTGATATGGCCGGGTTACGAGAACAATTAATTAACTTTGTATGGCCTAAATTCACAAATTTGTATTTTTCAGAAGGCTTATAAAACCAAGCAATCTATCTCTCAAGAAAAACTCGTGGAAATTGCTCGAAAAGAGGAGGAGGAAGTTGAAGCCGCTGCTAAAAGAAAAACCAAAAAATCAAAATTTGATTCTACTGATGAAGTAACAACAGAATGCATTGAAGATAATGACGATGATTATAATAATTTTGTAATTATAAGCTATATGTACTGGATCATTCAACAATCTCTGTTTTTATGTAGAGATCACAATTATAATTATTATTATGTTAAAGTAATATTTTGCATAAATAATTATCATGATCCCTATATAAATTTAAGGATTGTTGAGTGACTTTTAGAACACCTGGTATATACTTTTTTTTATTTTAAGGCTAATTTTAATTGGCTTTTTTTGAAGACCACAATGTTTGATTCAATCTTTAATGAATATCCATTTCTTGAAAATAAATAAATTTTTTTTTAACTGGTAAGAATTAAAATTTATTTATATAGAACTTATATTGTAACTTACACATAAATTGAAATCTAAAATTTTTTAAATTGCCTGCCATTCTACGTAACAATTTAAGAATGGAAAATTAAATACGGATATATAAAAGGTTACAAAAGAATTTATATTTTCACATATGCATTTGACGATTTACAATTCAAAGTTTGTATGAGTATTACCGAGTTTCATATATTGCTATAAAGATGTTTCAGATAATATTGTATACCACATTTTGCAAAATGTTTCCAGAAATAGTTTTAACCTTGATACATTATATGAATTAAAGTCTCAAATTAGAATAATTTCTTATATTGCTCATTGCGAAGGTTTATAAAATTGGTAAGTCTACATTAGATAAAAATTTGTTCAAACATTCATATTTGATTACCCAGCTATCATGTATGAGAATTTATAGGAGGCAAAAATTTGATTTATAATATGCTGTGTTACTATTTCTAATTTCTAAGCGCATTTCAAAAAAAATAATATGCGTATTTCAAAATTTCATAGTGTTTACGTTAAACTTGTAAACCTCAGGTCTAACACTAATTTTCTATTTAGTAAAGATAATCATATATTGCATATTATTCTTAATTTGTTGATTTATTGATTATTGATTTGTTAGTGCGAAAAAAAAGATCCAGAAATAATTTTTCACTCTGTGAATCATTGTCTACCGTGTGATAAAATTTAAACTTTTTAATGAAGATATTCAGTATGTATAAAAAATTCAGAATCAAAATTACGTGCGTATTGCACACTAAATGTTGAATTAAATATGTGTATTGCACACTTGATTTTAAATTTAAATATTTTTTAACAACCAATACGTAATCTTTATAAAGCTATTATTATTGCTCAACTGGTTGACTTTATTTGGACGATATGGGGATTCCGTTTGCTATCAATTATCAAGCACTATATCAAACATATTGGAATATCTAGACTCCAGGAAAATATTATCAACCGAAGATAACTATCCACCTTATAATCTATTGCATACATGGGAATGTAGCCAAGAAATTACATAGCTATAAAGAGAATCAGTTATTAATTTTATATAGCGACATAGGTATTAGTACACTCTATTTAATAGATACTGTAAAATAAATATGTTATATTTTTTGGTATGCAAAAAGAATTTATAGTTGAAGCGCATATGCGCACATCAAAATTTTTTCATTGAAGATTTTGATTGAGGAAATATTAAACATTAAAACCTTTCATGTAAATTTATTAATCTTAAAATGAAGGTTCTTATATTTTTAAATATACAATACACACACATATATATTGATAAAAATATATAAAAATTGAGCCTTTTAAATAAAGAAGAAGAATATTCTTATGATAAACATTATCAGTTGATTTATTCCAACCAAAAATAAAAGTGTTGAGGAAAAAAAAACTCGAAAAACATCCAATCAACAAACACAAACATTATTCTACAATACTATCCTTCCCTTTCAAGAACAAATTAATATAATATTGTAATAAATATAAAATTAATATTCCAAATTAATAATAAAATAAAGCTAGTATAGAAATAATATATTTTTCAGAAAAAAAAATAATGAATGTGGCAATTTATTTATAAATCAGTTCTCATAACCTGGGTTTTAATTATAATTTTTGAGCAAATTATCTTTGTATTACATATAGTTCTTATATTAAAAATTTATAAAAATTAATTCTTTATGTATTTTACCAATTTTAATTTGTAATTTTTAATTAATTTAATTCATATTATTGTAAAAAATAAAAAGCAAATATAATAAAAAAATTAACTACTATCGTAATATAATTCATATTAATGTAAAAATAAAAAGCGAATATAATAATATTAAATTAATTACTATTGTAATATTTGGATAATTTTAAATAAATCTAATTAGTTATTGATAAATATATGCGATAATTTGTATTTTTATTATTTTCAAAATCTGTATATAAAAAATCTTCTAATAATTTGTATTTTACAGTTTTGAAATAAAAAATATTTTTAATATTTGCGCTGATCTGCATATAAAATTTCTGTGCTAATTTATATAAATATAAAATTCTGCACTAATTTTAACTTTTTTTCTTTAAAAATTGCTGCCAGGTTTGAATTTTTGTGCAGATCGTATATATATAATTGGCTTAAAAATCTGCACAGTTATGCTATAAAAAATTATTCCGATGCTAGTATATTTGCTAAGAATAATTGTCTTTTTTCAAATATTCTGTTTTCTGATAATTAAATACTTTGTTCTAAAGTAGCTGTGAATGTTAGCTATTAATTCTCCTCTATTTGGATATTATTTGTATGGGTTCACTGTTCTTATATCCTTTTTGAGTTATATAATTGTAACTCTTAATAAGTTATTAATTAGTAATTTTTTATATTTTTGATTTTCTTTTTTCTTTGTTACTGCTTTTCTCTATTGCTCATTCTTTTTAAACCTTTTATAAATTTGCTATTTTAGGTGCTTGATTAGAATTGTACAGGAACTTCTTATATTACAGATTACAATTCTTCTTCTATATAACTACCTCAAAATTGTTGTTATTCTAATTTGATGCTTAAATCTTGCATTTGTTTAACTATCTGATTTATATTTCTGTCTGTTTTTATTTCTTCTTTAGATGATCTTTTTTTGTCTATTATTTGTGGTTTCTCTACTAGACCTTCTTTTTCTATTATTTTTATTTTGTTTTCTTCTTTTTTAATTTTTTCTTTACTCATACTTTTAATATATTCTATTGATATTAAGTTATTTCTTACTATTTTAGAT